ATATTCGGATTCGAATAGCCCTCTAACAGTTTGCACAAAATATCTGTAAAGAAAGTATTCTTACCTGTTCCTTGTTTTCCAATTATAATGAGAGCAGTTTCATTTTTAGCACTTGGATATTGTAAGATGTTTGCAAACCAACATAAGATATACTCATAGACTCTTTCGTTTCCATTGCATATAATTTCTTTGACATGGTCTAACCAAGCTTCTATAATATTTTCTTTCCATTCTACTTGTTCGTATTTATATCCAGTGAAGATAGAATAGAAGTTTGGAGAAGGTGTATAGAACTTTATACCTCGAACTGAAAAATCTTCTAACTTTGACAATAAGATATCCCAAGCATCTAACATCTTCATGCCAACTTGTACGACTTTTATTTTCTTAAGTTTCTGTCTACATTCTTGTTCTGAAACTATTGTTGCTCTTGGTTTGTTAAAGACAACATCCCATTCTTTCATAACATAACATTCTGGGGCAGAGTCGACATAAATGACTAAACGTTTCAAATTCTCGACTGCTTTGTTATAGTCTCGAAATGGACACATATTTCTGAACGCTTGGAAGTCATAAAAATCTGAAACGTCTATTCTGTACATTTTTATAAAAATAAAAAAAAATATTTTTTTATTCTTGAGCTTGTTGTTGCATTTGTTCCATTTGTTGCATTTGTTGTTGAAGTTGTTCTTGTAGTACAATACTTTCACCAGTTGCATCTTCCAATTCGAAACTTTCTGCCGTCATTGACAAATACATAGGACATAAAAGTTTTACAGGAACAAAGTTTGCGTCGACTAATGTCAACGTTATGTTTGCTAAAGTGTTTGAGTTTACTAAAGCTGAAAACTCTGCATTCGAATGAACAATAGGCAAACCAGCAGAGAAAGTGTTGTTTATACGCATGAGTATCTTTTGGTCATAGTAGTTTCTGTCGACATTCGAATAGCACTTTGAACCTAAGTTTGAAACAATATATAAAATAGGTGTACTTAAAGTCAATGGAATAGATAGACCTTGTATGACACCTTTTCCTGTTATAGGAAACTGTTGGTAGTAAAAACCAGATATAAGTTTTGTATTATAGCTCATATCGTTTATACTAAACTCAGTCGGACATCCAAACATAATGAAACCTGCTCTAGTTGCAGCACATGTTACATCCGTCCTTAAAGTATTAAATAAGTCAACAAAACCTGTTGGTGGTATATCTGAGTAAGTATCTTCAAAGGAGTATTTTTTACCATTCACAACAATAAAATCTTCTGGTGTCAAAAGAGCAAAACAGGCTTTAGTCGTCATCGTGTTTAAGGTCAGTTTACAATATCGTCCTTGAGGACTTTGTAAGTTTGTTGTTATAGAATTATATGACTCAGGGTTTTTAGTCGTAATAGTATAAACCATTATGTCTTCTGCCATTTACTTAGCAAATAAATTTTAATGAAATGTTGTGGTCGTCAAATATTTTTATGACGTCTGGGAAACTATATTTTAAGTTCAACGTTTCACCTCCTTTCATAACGTATATCTTGTCAATGACATTATATGAAACACCACAGCAAGCAATGTCGGGTTCTATTTCTTTGATGTTTATATCGTCTGCCTCTGTCAAAAGTTTCAATAGTTCTTTCAAAACTTCATGAGGTGCAATGACATATGAGTTCACTTTTACAGGGTTGTGTTCGACCAAGTTTAACATTATACCCAAAGCTTGACAAATCTTCTCCTGAGTTTTAAGTTTGTCTTTAAGTTGTTGGTAGTCGTTTCGAATATCTGCAACAGAACTTAAGTCTCTGCTAACTTCAGGATATGTTGGTTGTTCTTTTACAGGAACAATTGTTATACCATCTTGGTCTTCGTATGGTTTCCCCACTTCAACATCTCTTTCTTTGACATTGACAACAACACTTTGACTGTTTGTTTGAGTTGGTGAATTTAACTTCACATCTGCCACCGCCATTAAACCTTTTGAAACACTTACGCTTCTATTTTTCGGAAATGACATTTTACTTCGAATAAAAAGATGGACGTATTTGAGTATCTCTTCGAATTGAAGCAGAACAAAGTTTACACACACAAACAATACAAATACATTGACAGAATAGTTCTTTATACAAACAATGGAAAATGTTATAGAATAGCAATATTTGCTGAACCAAAATATTTTCATAAAGCAAAGAAAGTTGGTATAACTGAAATGGTGAAAGTTCTTGAAGCAGACAAAAATATAACAACAAAACTTACAGATATTTCTAAAGGTAAGTTTATCTTACAATTTTATGTCAAAACTGGCGTACTGTCAATATTTGACGGAGAGAAGTCAGTTCAAGAACAACTTACTGACCTGCTGCCAAAATCTGCTCGATGGAAGCTGTCGTTATGCCAATCTGAGGAGCCCCAGCAGGTTTCATCGAACGAATCTTCAAAAGAGCATCTTCCGTGAAAAGTGCTATTGGTTTTGTAAACTTCTTTGCTTTCAATTCATCTGGACCGTCTCTGTCACCAGTATATTGTATTTGTACAGTACCAACAGTTGAAATACCACCCATAAAGTCTTCTGAGTCAGCAAATGGAATGCCAAGCCAAAAGTTTGAACGGTCTCCATTTGTATATTGAGTTTTTTGAGCTCCTGTATGAGTCCATACTTTCACATATGGCATAATAGAACTTTGCATTTCAGGGTTAATGGTTGTTGTGAAGTTGTTGTTAAAGTTCATAGCATCTAATGTCAAGTTGTATGACCTCATATCCTCAACTGTAGAATATTCTTCTCTTGGATAGTATTTGCCATCTATGTTTATATGGTATTTAATACCAGGGTTGTAGAAGCAAGAATAGTCATTTATAGTTCGTCTGAACAGTACAAACATAGTATCTGCATGTTTCATTGCAGTTGTTAAAGCAATATCTGTTCTTGCACCTGCGGTTCCTGGATTTTGGTTTCCAACTTCACCTGCAAAGTCTTTGACAGATATTTGGTGTATAGGGAACATAAGTGGAACTGCAATATATTTGGCAGCTAAAGCATTTGAAATATCTGGGTCCAACATATAGACTGCAAGTCTGCTTTCTATTCTCTTGCATTCAAATTTTTCGCATGTGAACTTAACTGGGTCCCAAGCATCTCCAGCAGCATTGAAATAATAGTTTACTTCAGTGTTGAGGTTTGAGAAACCAAAGTCTAAGTCAACTTTGTTTTTGCAAAAGTCGGCGAATGACATTTTATTTGTTCCCACTACTTCTGTAAGAGTGAATGGGTCTTGTGTTGGTGCAATGACTAAGTTATTTTTGCTTGGAGTAAGTTCGATAGAAATTTTTCCTGCCCAGTTTGGCAAGTATCTTAAAAACCTGAAGATGAGGAAAGATGACAAAGGAACTCTAAGTTTCAATTTTACTTTGGTTACTGCTGCTGCATTTTGTCCAGAAAGGTCAACATAAACTCCTGGAACGTTAGGGTCAAGTCTTCTTATTTTCTCAATAGTTGCATACTGGTCTGTTTGTTCTCTAGCTTGTGGTTGTACTGAGTTTCTCAAAGCGAACCATTCATAGTTTGCCCATGTTACTGTTTGAACTAAGTCAGAGTTAGAATATATCTTATATCCCATGAAAACTTCTGGAGCATATTGGTATCCGACATAGAAAATTCCATTGCAACCTTTTTGTCAGACAACTTGGCAGAAGGTTTTATTTCAATGTCTTGTTCCACGTATAAGAAAGAGTTGTCAATAGAAATTATATGAAACCTGTCGCAAGCAATATCTACTGTTGTTGAAGAACCTTCTCCAAACTCACCTACGTTTCCATAAGAAACAGCAGTTGTATATTCGTAAGTTCCAGGAACTATTTCTGACCTTCTAATGGCATTGTCGCATTCGTTATACCATTCGGAAACATTTCCATTCATAGCATCCAAAACTGTTGGCGTTATATTCTGAGCGGCGTACATTTCATATGAGTAAAAATATAGAATAGTTGGATTTATATGTCATAATAGAACCCACGTGGACCAAGCTTTACTTTCTTCCTGACTGAGTTTTTAACTCTTCTTTTTCCTTCATTGCCCTCTGCTTGAAGTTGTTGCATCTTTGCATTATGTTCATCTAGTATGTTGCAAATTTCCCATGTCCTTTTTGCCTTTTGGCTCTGGTCGCCCATCTCAGGTAACCTATATCCTAGAAAGAGTTTGTCATAGTCTGTATTTGAGTCTTCGCGTATTGTTTGCATGACTCTTTCCTGAGTTTCTGGTTCAAGCTCTTCAAACAGTGCCTGTCCATATGGAATAAGCTCGTTTCCAAATATATGTTTTTGTAGCCATTCTGGTTTTCTTTCCATGTTACCAACAATATCTTTTGTGAATGGGAAAGCTTTTACCCAATCTTTCAGTCTTTCGTCGTTTATTTCTGTAGTTGGTTTTATTTTGTCAAGGAACATGTTTTTCAATACTAACATTTCATTTGGTACTGTCCATTTGAGTTTTCTTAAATATTCATCCCTTCTCAGTTCATTGTCTGCAAAGTAAGTTTTTATGACATTTTGTAAACTTTCGTTTGCAAGGTCATGTACAATAGGTTCTCTTCCTTCTCTCTCCCTAACTTTCTTTCTAAACTCTTCACCAAATATACCATCTTTATGGTTCTGTGTAGTTCTTTGAGATAAATGTTCTAGAACGTCAGGTGTTATATTTCCATCAGCCATGTTCATTTCATACTGGTCCAAAATATCTGCATCTTTCATATCTTTCAATGGCATTAAAGCCGCGCTTAAAATACCAGCTATATCTGGTTCACCATTGACTTCCATTGCGTCTACAACTTCTTGGAATTGAGGTTGTAAGTTTATGAACCACCTATCCGGATTAGCTTTATGACCCCATCTCATTGTAGTTCCATAGTCTGCAGAAACAAAAGTAGGTTTGTTTCCATATTGGTTAGGTTCTGAATGAACTTTAAACAATGTTTCATTTCTATATGTTTTGTTGAAATTTAACCTTTTATTTTCACCGAGTTCATCCGAAGATTGAACGTTAAATGCTCGTAAGTAAAAAGGGTTGTTGTATTTGTGTACATTTTCTTTCAGTACTTTCATTCTATGCTGAATATTTTCATCTGGTGTTGGAGTCTTTTGTATGTCGGCAAACATTTTTCGATATTCTTCTACTATGTCAGCCGAATCTTTCTTAGACTCTTGGAAAGATTCCATATTCACCTCATGCTCTTGTTGAGGGTCAAGATTTTTCGGCTGTTCCAAATCTTCATCTAGTTCTGTGAAGTTAGTTTCCAAAGGAGTGACTTGTTCGTTTCCTTCAGGCTCTTCTAGCTGTTGTTGCTGAACTATTTCTTCCATGTCTGGTTGTATCTGAACTTCTTCCTGTGGAGTTTCTTGTACCTCATCTGCTGGCATTTCATATATTCCGAGACCGTTTTCAACAATTTCCCTATCTACGTCATCCGCATTCATAAGCTTTTGTTCTTTCGTTCCGTCTCTATTTTTTACGCGTTTCATGACGAAAGTTGTATTGTCATTTAGCTCTGACATCAAATATCTCGGAGTAAATTCGTTCATGTCATTTGGATGATATGCTATTAAATCATATCCCTTAGCGAGCTTGTATTTTCCAGGTTTGAAATTATATCCCATTTGGTGCTGAGTCATAAAGCTAAATAGGTTCGGGTCAGTATTTCCATCCTTGAACTTTCTAATAGCTTCTTTATATCTGTCACTAAAGTCAATAGTATCTGGGAAACCACACTCTTCTTTAAGCATTTTTAAGAATTCTTGGTTTCCTTGTTCTCTACTTCTTTTATGTCCTTGCTCTGTTTGTGGTTGTTGTGCTGGTTGTGGAGGTGGTTGCTGTGCTGGTTGTTGTTGCTGTGCTGGTTGTTGTTGTTGTGCTGGATTTTGAACTGTTGGTTGTTGTGCTGGTTGTTGTGCATGCCTGTGTCTGTGTCCATGTGACGATGTAAATGTTCTAGGTAGTCCTGGTGCAGGTGCTTCTCTTGGAGGGTTTGGTGGTATATAAGTTCCACCAGCTGGCACATATGTTCCATCTGCAGCGTAATGTCCTACCTGACTTTTCGTTCTTAAGAAAGCATTTACTAGGTCTGTTTTGGTCTGTTGTAACTCTTTTTCTTGACTTTCCACAACAGTTGCTCTAACGGCGTCATAGGCACTTTGAACTGCCTGTCTCGTTGCTGCATCTGTTATTTTCGTCATATTTTGTGCTACTTCTCTTAACTCTTTGTCGAAACCTTCAGACTTCAGTTTCTTTCCAGATGAGAAGTCGTTCACTAGTTTCACCTTACTATGAAGAGCTTCGAAGGCGTTCTTAAAGTCAGCATTTGTTAAAGCTTCATTTGAACTGTCTTCATCCGCTTGTATTTTTGTCCTTATTGACCCTATAAGTTGGGCTGCTTTAGCGTTGGCTTGTGCATCTAACCAGTCATTGTTAGCTTTTATATATTCTGCGCTTTTCATTGCCTTTTGCATAGCCGCGTCGTTATTTTTACTTTCTTGTGCTAAGTTTTCATACTGTACGGTTTGGTTTTGCAACTGTAAAAGTTTTTCTGCCTTTACATTTGCTTCAACTTCTTTTTTATACTCATCGCTATCCATATATGTCTTCAGGGCTTTTTGTTTTATCTCTTCATCTTTCAGTACTTTATATCGAGTAGTATGGTTTTTCAAATTTATGACATCTTGTTCCATTTTTGCTACTTCTGCTGCTTTTTCTGACACTTTTTTCGCATATTCCTCTGTACTTAGTTCTTTCAGTTGTTCTTCTTTCTTCTTTTTCTCTACGTTTAACTCATTGAGTTTCTTTGTGTGTCTGTCATATTCTAGTTTCTTTTCGTTTTCACTTATTTGCTTCTGTATGTCTATGTTTGACTTTTTGACATCTGTTATTTGATTTTTGAGTGAACTCAAATTCATTTGACTTTGAGGGTTATAGGCTGTTCCGTCTGCAGCTCCACCATAGCCTGCCATTTTCGCTAAAAGTGCCGCTCTTAAACCTCCACTCTGTGCACCAACAACTCGGTTTAAAAGCATAGGATTGCTTGACATTTGTTGCAACATAGTGGGGTCATTCAGCATTTGTTGTTGCAACTGTTGTTGTGGTGTTAGTTTTACTATTGGATGTTTCAATGCTCTCTTCCTCTTACGTATATTCTTACGTAGCTTACGTGGCATTTTAAGTGAAGTAAAAAACGGTTTTTGACAGATGTTTTATTGTGACTTCTTCGTAAAGACTTTGTTGAGATTTCTTCGTAAATGAGTGTAAATGACCCAAAAATATATTTTAGGGTAGAAGGGTATATCTACCCCGTTTTCTACCCTCTTTTCTACCCTCTTGAATTTTCATGAATTTCTTCGTAAAGACTTTGTCAAGACTTCTTCGTAAAGACTTTGTTAAGACTTCTTCGTAAAGACTTTGTTGAGACTTCTTCGTAAAGACTTTGTTGAGACTTCTTCGTAAAGACTTTGTTGAGACTTCTTCGTAAAGACTTTGTTGAGACTTCTTCGTAAAGACTTTGTCAAGACTTCATCGTAAAGACTTTGTTGAGATTTCTTCGTAAATGACCCTAGTAGTATATTTTTGGTGTAAATTTCATGAAAATTCAAGAGGGTAGAAAAGAGGGTAGAAAACGGGGTAGATATACCCTTCTACCCTAAAATATATTTTTGGGTCATTTACACTCATGAACTTTCTTGTCTATGTTTTGTTGAGACTTCTTCGTAAAGACTTTGTTGAGACTTCTTCGTAAAGACTTTGTTGAGATTTCTTCGTAAAGACTTTGTTAAGACTTCATCGTAAAGACTTTGTTGAGATTTCTTCGTAAATGACCCTAGTAGTATATTTTTGGTGTAAATTTCATGAAAATTCAAGAGGGTAGAAAAGAGGGTAGAAAACGGGGTAGATATACCCTTCTACCCTAAAATATATTTTTGGGTCATTTACACTCATGAACTTTCTTGTCTATGTTTTGTTGAGATTTCTTCGTAAAGACTTTGTCAAGACTTCATCGTAAAGACTTTGTTGAGATTTCTTCATAAAGACTTTGTCAAGACTTCATCGTAAATATTTTGTTGAGATTTCATTTATACTCATTCATCCTCAGGGCTAGAAGGCACGAAGTGCCTGGAAGCCCCACTACCTTTTTTTTTTTTTTTTTTTTTTTTTTTTTTACTTAATCTTTTTGGAATAAATGTTTTATAATATTTATCGATTGATTGTAATTTTTTGTATAAAAAAAGTTTTTTATTTATATTAAAAATATATTCGGTTAATGATATTATCTTATAATTTGTAAATAAATCTAGTAATAAAATAACTTTAATAGTTGGTGTCACTTTTTCGAAAATTCTGGTTTTTTCTACATATATACATATATACATATATACATATATACATATATACATTGTTCCATATTAAGTTCTGTCAAAATGTAAGCTATTCAATTCTATCGTCGGGGGAAGTATCACAAATCTATCAATTTTTTTGTAAAAGTATACAAAAACATATGGTGTTCAATTAGTTTATAATATTATAAATATTAAGATTATCAAAAATAAGAAAAACTAGGTTTTGAGAACACTTTTGAGATGATAATCAAAATATTTTGATTGAAAAATAATATATTATTTATCAGATCTAGAATGAATTTTTTCAAATTTAAAAATTCTGAAAAATAAACAGTTTTGTAAAGTAAAAAAAATGAACGAAAACTCGAGACCTCGTATTCCAAATGAATGGGTAAGATATATGTATGAAAAACTTGAAAGTGGTGAGTTAACTTACGCAACAGTTTTTGAAACAATCATTTGGAGAAAGTTTCCCAGCTATCTACTGGGAACTAAAGGCTATGAGGCACTAGTATATAACCAGTGCCTCATAGCCTTTAGTTTGTTATTAAAAACGAGAAAACTTGTTCGAAATGATAAACAATTTCGAACAAGTTTTCTCGTTTTAAGGAGGGAATTGTTCCTTATGATGCATACATTATAAATATATACATCATAAGGAACAATTCCCTCTAGATAGCTGGGAAACTTTCTCTAAATAACTTATCATTTGGAGAAAGTTTCCCAGCTATCTACTGGGAACTAAAGGCTATGAGGCACTAATATATAATCAGTGCCTCATAGCCTTTAGTTTGTTATTAAAAACGAGAAAACTTGTTCGCAATGCGAAATGATTGCGAACAAGTTTTCTCACTTCAGCGAGGGAATTGTTCCTTATGATGCATACATTATAAATATATACATCATAAGGAACAATTCCCTCTAGATAGCTAGGAAACCCTAAATTAACTATTAATCTTTGAGATATTTTTTATTGAGGTTAATACGTTTTTCTAAATAATTAAAATGTAAAATTTTGATTATGAACTCATCTCTAATATTTTGGCTCTTTAATATATTTGAATCATGATCTTTGAGAAGAGTTCTCAAAAGTATTCACAAAAGCTATTTTTCCTTGAAATTTAAAAATCCTGTTTATCATATATTACCAAATTCAATTCCCTACATATTTCAAATATTCTATGAACATTTCAATTTTTGAAAAAAACATATTTTTTCCAAATATATTTATTATCATATTTCTAATAATATTTCCTAAAGCGTCACTTTTTACTTCCTCGACGATTATTCCCCTCTCAAAAAATTCAATAGCTTACATTTTGACAGAACTTAATATGTAACAACATATATACATATATACATATATACATATATACATATATACATATATACATATATACATATATACATATATACATATATACATATATACATATATACATATATACATATATACATATATACATATATAAATATATACATATATACATATATAAATATATACATATATACATATATAAATATATACATATATAAATATATTTATATATATAAATATATAAATAACAAAATACAATCAAAAAATAGTGTTTGGAAATTTAAGATTAGGTGTCACTTTTCTAGTGTCACTTTTTCGTAAATTCTACCACACTCTTTTCCTAATGGTTTAATAACAAACAATATAAATATTGTAGAAGGCAATAAAACTATAAACGTTAAACATGAACTTCTAACAATGAAGACTCAGATTCTTGAAACCATATATCCTATAGGCTCTATTTATACGTCAATGAACTCAACAAATCCGGCAAGTGTTTTAGGTTTTGGTACGTGGGAACAGATTGTAGATAAATTCCTCTATTGTGCGAACTCTTCAAAGCAAACAGGTGGTTCGAAGAAAATTAAAGAAGCAAACCTTCCACCGCACACTCATACAGGAACTACAAACTTTTCTGGTGACCATAGTCACTCATTAAGAGGCCATCCATTATACAACTCAGAATATTATGCTGGCAATGACGTTTTATCTCCAGATTATAACCATTCGGCAAAAAAGACTTTTCGACCAACTGAACCAGGAGGAAATCATTCACACACTTTCACAACAAATCCAACAGGTTCGGGTGCAGATTATATGCCACCATTTGTGACTGTATTCACATGGTACCGAATTCAATAAACACACTTGAGCCTTGACTCAGAGGATCTAGGCTTACCGCGTTCAATGAAATCTTTAACTTTACATAAATGAGCTTGAAAGAAGTATTCGAACAACATCCATGGAGGTCATTTAAGAAGTTCAATGAAGCTGCAAAGAGTTCGGGATTTACTAACAGAGCTGAAGTTAAAAAGTTCTTTGACAAAAATGTTGTACATCAAACAAAAATAAACCCTTACGACTACTTTTTACCAATTTACTCCAACACTCCTGACGCATACCAATTTGACACTCTCATTCAAAGCAGAAAAGGAGGACATAAACCATTCCTCATCTTCATAAATGTTAACACTCGTGAAGTGTTAAGAGTTTTACAAAAGTTTGTAGCAGAACATAACCCAAGTACTTTAACATCAGACCAAGACAGTGCATACCTCAGCAACGAAATCACAGAATTTCTCATTAAGCATAACATAACTCACTACACTACTGAAGACCATAACCATAACATACTCGGCATCATAAACCGCTTCATAAGAACGCTCAGAGATTTAAATCAAGAGCGAGACTTTACCGAAGAAACAATGAAACATTTTCTCGAAGTATATAATTCCTCAACACATTCTACAACAGGACATACACCAAATTCAATGACACAACAACAAGAAGAAAAGTATGTACAAAAGAAACGAAGCCAAACACAAAATATCAGAAATTCAACACAATTTACCCTCATTCCTGGTACAAAAGTTCGTGTAGTTCTTGACGACAAACCGTTGACAAAGAAACGTTTAAGGTTAAGTCGAAATTATTATATCGTAGACTCTACGCAAGGTAATGGATATCTTATAAAAGCTGCTGACGACTCCATAGCATTTTACCCTCGTCATAAATTAGTCGAAAGTAGTAATGGCAAACTTGCTGAAACCATTGACGAAGCAAAGCGAGGAGTGGTTATTGAAATACTTGGCTATAACACAAACGATGACACTTATAAAGTAAGATATGAAGGAGGCGTTGAAGATGTTATACCATCTAAGAACTTGAGAGAATCTAAACCAACACATCTGGGACCATTAGAGCGGGAGTACTGGAAAGACAAAAATATGCCAGAAAGAATAAGAAAATTCTTCTAAACTTTTTCGTTGGATGTAAATCAGACAAAAATATATTTTAGGTGAAGAGGTGAGATTTCACCTGTTTTCTCACCTGTTTTTTCACCTGTTTTCTCACCTGTTTTTTCACCTGTTTTCTCACCGCTTAGCGGCTCAGATTGCTTTTGCTTTCTCGTGAATTTTCATGAATTTCCTTAAGATAGAAAAAATAAAGTTAGTTTTATTTTTATTTATTTTTTTATCTTGTATGTAAAGATATGATTTCAACAATAGGTTCTACAACAATTCAAACAACTACAGCACCAAACTCGCTAGTCATGAATCCTACATCTATGTTGGTAGAGATGAAAAGCTTCATTCCTTCTTCATATACTTTTGAGACAGAAATACAAAGAATTAAGCAAGAACTTTTAACAAGTAATTTAGACTGTAGTGCGAAAGATGAAACAAATGAACAGTATCTTTATGACATGCAGGACATTATTGACCATTTACCCAAATTGCCTGAAATCCAACAACAAAAGCTCACTATTCATGAATTCGATGAAATAGAAGTGAAACCAACTGACTCAGTAGAAATAAAGAAGTTCATACGTAAAGTAAACTATGAGTTTCTAGGATATCATTGCAACCATAAAGTTATGGACAAAGATTGCGACATGGTATATAAGAACATCTCTGACATATATAAATCTGGGGAGTTTAAGACATACGACAACTTTGTTTCATTAGTTGCTGAATGTGTATGGCAGATAAGAGATAAAGATAAAAGATGTAAAATATGGAATGGACAAATAAAACCAACAACTTTTGAGTTAAAGAAAACCATTGACGCCTTAGTTGTTCTAGCAGGTCAAATTTCAATGTATAACGCAAAAATGAATCCGCAATGTTCAAAATGTAAAGCAGCAATGAGGAAATATAACTACTCACTAAAAGAGATAGAACGTATGAGAAACGACTATGCTGACTTAAAGAAAGAAGTAGAGAAACCAGCAGAAGATAAAATGGACATGTTAGCATTTCTGAACAAAAACTATCCAACAGCTGACGATTTCCTTCTATCTGACGTCAAGAAGAGGTATAAAGAAACTTTCGGCATTGTTAAAACTTTTGACATACTGACAGAAGAAATAGAAGCTACGAAATTGTTTAGAATTTCAAATATACATCGTACAATTCATGTAAAACGCTTATAAAATAACTGGGGTGAAAAATTAGGTGAGAAAACTGGTGAAATCTCACCTCTTCACCTAAAATATATTTTTATTGAATTCAGCAACAAAATTCTGAGTAAAATAATTTTTAGGGCATGTGTCAAACCGTTGAGTTTTCACAAAATTTAAAAAATAACGTTTACCATGTAAAACGCTTATAAAATAACTGGGGTGAAAAATTAGGTGAGAAAACAGGTGAAATCTCACCTCTTCACCTAAAATATATTTTTATTGAATTCAGCAACAAAAATCATGAATTTCATTAGTTAGAAAAATAACGCTAATTTTTTCTAAGAAAATTTTTTATTTTGTATGTAAAGACAGTAATGTCAAACATTGAGTTTGAAACAGTTAGAAAGATAGACAATGACACCAAAGTGGTTAGAATAGGTGATTTAAACGTAAGATACTCAAAGAAATACAACAAATATTCTTTGTCAGACATTATATCTCCATCTGGAAAGAAAACAAACGACTGGGTTAGAAATGCTTCAACTCAGAAAATTTTGACAAGAAATCCTGAGCTTATGATATCAGTAGCATTTCATGGAACAAGAGCATATCTTATAGACAAAAGTCTTATACCAATAGTTTTGTTATGGTTAGACCCAGTTGTTGGATATAACTTCATAACTTATGGTTCATTCGACTCAGAACGTTGCAGTGAAGGCTTACTTTACATCGTTCAGAAACCGAAGGACTTCAATACAAAGAGATATAAGATAGGAAGAACATATAATATAACTCAAAGATATGACAGTACAGTCAATAGAGTCAAGGTTGTGTTCGTTAATGATATGAGAGCTGCTGAAACAGAACTGCTTGAAGTTTTTGAGAAAATGTATGGTGCTCCCATGAAAGGTAAAGAAACGTTTGAAGTAGATGAGATAGATAAAGCTATAAAATTATTTGACGAAGTTGCTGAAAAATACATGTAAAGCGTTTATTTTTGGTCTTTTGTGAAAGTCAGAAAATAAAGTTAGTTTTATTTTTATTTATTTTTTTATTTTGTATGTAAAGACAGTAATGTCAACATCAGAGAACACAACAACTGCTATCGTTCATGAAGCCATAAATGAAGAATATGAATACATACAATATAACAAACAACTTCGCCTCATTCGTTCGGTCAAAGATGACATGTACCAAATGCAAAGTATAATGAATGCTCTTCGTTCTACAAAGCAAGCATATCATTGGTTTGAAAACCAACAGACAAAAGAACTTTTAGAAGAATTTCCTCATATGATTGCTTCCCTCGGAAAACCGAGAGAAGAGATTCCGTATGAAAATCGCAAGAATTTGGCACCTGGTTTGAAAGGATATTATGTTCATAGACTTTTAGTAAATGCTGTAGCAATGTGGGCTTCACCTCGTTATGCTTGTTATATTTTCATGATGTTAGATGAACTATATAAAGCAGAACGTGGAGAGATGGAAAAGAAACTTCAAGCAAAAGATGAAGTCATTGAATCCAAAGACAAAAGCATACAGAAAAGAATACCACGTTCAGTACCAAAAGGAAAGGAAAAGAGTTATAAGTATATGATATATACTGAAGAGTTGGAGAAAGAAGAAGATAAAGATATGGTTATGTTGCATTTAGTCAGAAGAAACAACAAGAGCTTTTATGACCTTGCTAAGATTTACAAATCTGACAGAAACTGGTTCTATCGTGAAAACTTACCGATTTCAATGACACCGAATGAGCAAATAAAGGAAATTGTCAAAAGTACTCTTCCTCAAACACACTATGACATCAAAGGTTGCACAATACTTACATTCAAAGAAGACTTACCATTACTGAAGGAAAAAATAACAGAATATTTCGATAACTTCAAAGAGGAAGAATAAAAAAATATATTTTTGCTTAAATGACGTCAGGGTCAATTTCTTCAACCATTTCACTTTCTTCGTCAATGTCAATAGAAGCTTCTTCAACCTTTGGTAAGAATTTCTGTATAACATCTTTATTCGTTATTGTCTTCAGAGATGAAGGATAATATTTCACATTTGTTTCACCCTTCTTATATTCTTTCTGTTCGGAAAGATTCATAGCAATACTGAAGAAGTCAATGTTAGAGTTCTTTATGACAGTATAATGAGTATCTTTGACATTCACGAAGAAACCCTTTTGTTTCAAAACTACTGCTAACTCTTGTGAAGTATAACGTTTGCGGTCAATGACAATAGCTAATGGTCTGACATACTGACCAAACTTAGATTCTTTCACAAACTGCTTGTTAAAGATAACATTAACGTTTGAAGCACCATTGAACTCATTCTTGATGGCAGTAGCGAGAGCATTGTATGAAAAGAACTTGCAATCTTGCATGTGTTTCATTAAAATAAAAATATTAAATTATTTTGAAAAATAACTTAAAAAAAATCTAATCTAATTTTTTCAAAAAAATATTTTTTTATTTCCTACTAAAGATGTATCGGAAGTTGTCTAAGTTAGAACACTCGGAAATAAAACAACTTCTTACAGAAGCTAACATAGATGTTGCAAAACATTACGCGACAAACAAAAAAGCACTCGCTGACATCCTCAATGACTACAATGGTGAAATAACTTATGATAGAATTCATGAGTTCATAAATGCAAGAGCATTTCCTTTAAATGACGTTGCTATTGACTTATATCATAGACGTTCAATACCTCATGAAGTAAGGCGTGAGATGTTTGACATAACAAATGCGAACGTTGGTCATACTCGTAAAGTTCTTTCTCATGATGTTCGTCAAGAGATGTTTGAACTTACGAACTCAAACGTTGGTGAAACACGAAAGAGAGATGACACACTGAAACAACAGAGAAGAGAGATGTTTAAAAATGCTATAGAACAAGTTCGCAAAGCTAACGATGTCATTCGTTCCATTGACGACAAACCAAAAGAAGGTGAGAGATGGTTAAAGAAAGATGAAGAGAATAGGAAGAGAAATGTGAAGTCAGGCAATAGACTCATTGACTTTAACATCGAAGCTTTAGATGAACCAAACAGAGACTACTTACACAAACATTTCGGTAAGGTTTTCATGAGACTCTTAGAGAAGATTAAAATAAACTCACAACAGAGATGGATGGTATGTTATAAACTTGGTGGAAAGTATGAATGTTCTACGTTAAACCTCAATAATATTGGAACATTACTACATCAGCTCTTGAAGGAGAACTTTATATCAGAGATAGAAGCAAATGCTGCAGGTATTGTTGAAATGCACTATGACTTCTTCTTGACAAACATAAAGAATCTTACTGAAATAAAGATGTATGATTTAACAGAATATGAAGGCTTAACGATGTCAGATGTAAAGAAAGGAAAGCCACAGAAGCGACCATATAGAGATGAAAGCACACTGACAGAAAGACAGAAAAGATTATTGAACAGACTTAAACAAACAGGAGATAAACAAGATATAGATGACTTCTGGAATGAAATCCTTGGTGAAAAGAAGTTTTATAAGAAGAGAAGCGGTCAGTTCTGGAAGTATCTTTGCACATTACCTATAAATCTTGAACGCTACCAAATCTTCAATGAACTGAACAACACTTATGACAGAAGACAATTGTTTCGTTTATGCTTGCATTCAGGCTGGAGTAAATGAAGAAACTATTGACCACATGAGAGAAGTCATTCGTGTTAGAGACTTTCCTCAAAGTAAAGTACAAGAAATTTCTGACGCAACTGGTATAGCATTTAATGTTACCATTGGTTATTTCGACAACTCCAAAGATAACAGAATAATTCACTACATACCAAAAGAATGTGAAACTGCTCGAACTATTGACTTACTTCTTGTTGAACACCACTACATGCTAAATGAAAGATTACCAATGACAACATACTTCATTCGAAACTATAAAGAAATTCTCAAAGCTTGTGGTGGAATGAACATTGAGAAACAGATGAAGATTTATACAAAGAGAGAGAACAAATATGTAGTTCGTTATGATAGAACAACACCGTTATGGGATGTTATGAAAACATTGTGGGAGTGCAAATATTTCGAACCTATTTCTTATGGAGAACTTTTCACATATACGACTGACTTATATAAACAGAACCTTGCACCATTTAAAGATTTGACATATGCTCCAAAGTATTGTGTACAACTGAAGAAGAAAGCAGAGTCAAAAGAAGTAAATAAAAATAAGTGCAAGTTCATTCCTGAGCACGTTTTCTTTGCTGACTTTGAGTGTAGCACAGACGGCTTTCATAAAGCTTTTAACATCTGTTATGACAGTGAAGATGGTTCAGTGAGTGAAAGCATTTGGGGTCAGAACTGTGCAACAGAATTTTTGGAGCGACTTCCTGACAAGAGTTTAATATATTTCCATAACCTCAGTTATGATATAAACTTCATCTTAAGACACATGACAGAAGTGAAAGGAACTCCCATCATTAAAGGTTCACGAACAATGCAAATAACTGGTTTATATAAAGGACGGGCAATTATTATAAAAGACTCTTACAGTGTTATAAATAAGAAGCTTAAACTATTTCCTGCTATGTTTAACTTACAAACAGGACCGAAAGAAGTATTTCCATACAACTACTACAGCAGTACTTTGTTAGCAAATGACAACAGAACTGGTGTCATTTCTGAAGCGTGTAAGTTTGTAAAAGATATTGAAACGTTCATGAAGAACATAGATTCCATCAAAGGTTGCAGAATAGATGAGAACCACTTCGACTTAGAAAAATATAGCACGTTTTACTGCAAACAAGATGTAAGAATTTTAAGAGAAGGTTTTGTAAAGTTCCGCAATGACTTATTGAAAGAGTTTGATTTAAACGTTTATGACTACGTTAGTATTTGTTTATTGCTAACAAATTATTTGAGAACAGAGTGTACTTCCCGAATGGAAATCTTTATGACCTCTCAAATAAACCAAGAGAATTTATTTCGAGATGCATTCAAGGTGGAAGATGTATGCTGTCAGATAACATGAAACAAAAGAGCGAAAAGAAACTCATTGCTGATTTCGACGCTGTTTCATTATATCCATCAGCTATAGCAAGACTTTATACTTTGGAAGGAATTCCAAAGGTTATGAAGGATGAGATGCTAAGCACAGAGTATCTCATGAGACATTTATTCGATGACGACCAAAAGGAACCCATTGGTGAAAAGTTTATGTCTGGCTTCTTTGTTCTCATTAAGATAACAGAGATTGGTATACACAGACACTTTCCTTTAATAGTTTGTGACCCTGAACTAAATCCAGAACTTAACGTTCCCAGAAGTTCAAACACTTGCTGTTTAATGTATGTTGACCATATAACATTACAAGACCTCATAAAATATCAAGGTGTCAAATGTGAAGTGTTGCAAGGATACTATTACGATGGAAACAGAGATTTGAGAATAAGAGATGAAGTTAAGAAATTGTTTTGAGTTAAGGTTAAAGTATAGAAAGAAGAAACCATTACAAGAAATTATAAAACTCATTCTGAACAGCATTTATGGCCCAAAACCATTTTATCTCCTATTGAGTCAAAAATAACCATAGTAGATGACAAAGATGCTATAAGATATGCTATAAGAAATTACAACCATATAGTGAAGTTCGAAGTTTGGGTTCAGATAAAACTATTTTTCAAGCTAACGAAAAGCATTTGCAGACACTTTTAACTTCTGTCCACTTGGTGTTAACATTCTATCTATGTCGAAGAGAATAATGTGTGAAGTATTCTGTACTGCTGAAGACTTAGGAATGGACATCTTTTATAGCGATACCGACAGTATGCATCTCTACAATGAAGATATCCCTCGTTTAGCTGAAGAGTTTGAGAAACGTTATGAAGAGTTTCTCATTGGTAAAAACCTTGGTCAGTTTCATAGCGACTTCGCAGAAATAACACCTGGAAAACAAAGTTTAGCATACAAGTCAATATTTTGTGGAAAGAAGACCTACATAGACTTACTCACTAACGATTTAAATGAAGTTGCATTTCACTGCAGAATGAAAGGCGTGAAGCAAGATGTTATTGCTTTAACCGCTAATGAAATGTTTCCTGAAGCTATACAATGCTATTACAATGAAGATAAAGGTTTAATGGTTCCGCAAGGAAAATTTGACAAAGACTCTTGAGTTCAGTGTCATGAAACTTTATAAAGCACTTTATGACGGTCAAGAGATTGGATTTGACTTATGTAAGTCATGTCAACCTTGCTTTGAAGAGAAGTTTAACTTCTCAATAACGACTAAAACAAGCTTTATTCGTAAGTTGAAGTTCTGAGGTCATTTATTTTTGTCAGCAATAGGTCATGAATGAGGTCATTTATTTTTGTCAGCAATGAGGTCATTCGTTGATAAAAATAAAGCTAGCGTAGATTTACAATACTGCGATGTAGAGTTTAAGAGTTGTGCTTCAATGTAGAGACAGTCCTTATGGTCTGGATGTAAGAACACTGGGCAGTTATGGTCATGAGTGGAGAACATGTCTATCCAAAACTCACGATTGAAGCCAGTTAATTTATAGTATTTAGGGTTAGGAAGTGTGTGAAGTTCTTGTATGACCAATGAACTCATTTTCAACTCCTTTACTTAAGTTTGAATATAATATAGCTTGCTTTCTATCCCAAATGCCAGTGTTACAATCTTTGAAAATTCATTTTTCCTCGGAAGCATTGCATCATAATTGAAAACATTCTTGAAATCATCACTTGGTTCAGAGATTTGAAATCTTATATACGTAATGGATTTTTTTTTCTCTTTAGCGACTCATTGAATGGTGAATATATAACAAACTGACAGTCATGAGTTCCATCTTCATTTTCATTAAATTCATAATGAAAAGTCTATAAGTTGTGGCCGACTACCTTCTTCCTTCAGTTGTGCAAGAAACTCACGTAAAGGCTGTAAAGTTTGTACTTCAATGTTGAACTTTTTCTCGAACATCTCATTAAATGAAATCATACATTGCAACAATGTTGTATCGTCTTTAAAGTATTTGTATATGTGAATGTTTTGGGCGCTTAAAGACTGTTCGTCATTTTCTATCTCGACTTGAAGTATAAAGTCAACCTTTCTGAAAGCACGTGTTATATACATAGATGTATGCCAATGTACTTCTCTTCATTTATGTTCACAATTCAGTCTGTTGGAAACTTAAACGTTACTCTGTTCCCTTTATTTTGAGTCAGGGTTTTCACTACTGAACGCAACAGTTAAAGGTATTTGTCTATACATTTAATTCGGATAAAAATAAACCATTTACTCTTTCTTTGCTTCAGCTTCTTTAGCTTTTTGTTCTTCCTTTGCTTTTGCTTCTTCTCTAGCTTTCTTTGCCAGCAAACGTGGGTTCTTTTGTTTCCAGCAGCTAATGCAGCAAGTTGTTTTTCACTAAGTTTTCTCTTTGGTCTCTCTGGCTTTGTTCTTGTTTTTGTTCCTTCAGTTCGGATAAAATTTGCTCGCGAATTTCTTTCTTCAATGCTTCAAACATCTATGACCCCTTGGGTCTTGTCCGTAGGGCTTGTCTGAGTCATTTGACTGCAGATAAAAAACAAAATTAAAACTTTAACCGATGTAAAATGAGCTTGTCAAAATCAGAACGAGAGTCTATTATATTAAATGACGCCAGAGGAATACAACATCCTTTCTATTACGTAAGTCAGAGTAAAGATGGTAAAATATATGTAAGAAAAAGAAAGGTTCCATTAGCGAATGCAGAAAGCGACAACATTAAGGTGCATGGCAAGGGTGAAGTCCACGAAGCCCATATAAAACCTTCTGTTCAAACTGAGCCACCAAAAGAACCAGAAGAAAAGAAGCCAGATGTACTTTCAATAACGAACCAAGAGCTTTTGCAAAGTTCGTGAATTTCATTGAAAAACAAACCGAGTCAAAGAACCCTGACCCGCCAGTGAAAGAAGTTGAGACAAAAGAGAATGTACAGTTCATTGAAAATGTCAAGAAACAACTTCCACACGAATGCCAAGAAGAAGAGTGAGAATAATGAAGTAAATAGATATTTTTATCTGAAGTAAATACATGCAGAACGAACAGCTAAACGAATTTACTCCAGCAGAGCATATTCATCAGATTCGCTCATATTCGATATCATAGACAATGCAGTTCAAATTGGTGACACTAATAGAAAATATTCTGACGCAAAGATTCCATCACAACCTGGAACTGCTAAAGATAAACACATGGGTAACATTCAATCTCTCACCTCCTGGTGAAAATATGTTGGACCTTTACAATACATTCATACGTATAAAATGGAAGGTCAATTTATTGTAGATAAAGAAATTGGTTCAGGTTCCAATAAAACAAACCCACCAGGATTTTGGATTGGTTTCGATGACGCTTTCTATGCAGTTGCGGATATCAAAATCCTTGCAAATGTCGTATCGTATATTCTCAAGACAACGCAAGAGAAGAAGCATATATAACTTCAAACTCACAAACTACGAACAAATAAAGAAAGTAGATGTTTTCTCAAAGACTCGACATGAAGATGTATGGAGTCATTCGGGAACATGCAGAACAGGACAAATTGTTAGTGGCCAATTACAGCAGGAAAATCATTTGATTTTAAGCTTCGTTTAAGAATTCCTGTTAGAAAGTTTTTACCATTAGAAACTATAAGATTTATTCCTGCATTTGCAGGAAACATTCAGCTTAAAGTAAAGTTCAGTAGCGACGCCTTACAATGCACATCTATATCTGTAAATGATATCATTGCTTTCAATCCAACTCTTAAAGTTGCATTTGCTTCAGATTCAAATCCACCGACAAATAAATTTGTTCCATGGAATGAACCATTCACTATGATAACGAAGGCAGTAGAAGCTAGTGGAACAGTTACTATTACAACTGTAACCCAGCAACTATTTCGAACAAAGATGGATTTTAATGAATGTTTCATTCATCCAAAGTCATTCTCTTTAGACCCTAACATTTATACAGAACTTGTAGAACATTATACAAACGAGGCTTTATGTTTTCCTGTTAAAGTTATGGATTGGATTCCTATGGACGGTTCATTCTCAAAGAATACAGATAGTTCAAGTGCAACATTTACAGCAGCTTATACGCCTATTAATGTTAAAAGTATTTGGGCACTATTTAGAAAGAAAGACAACTATTATGTTAATTTTGAGAACCCTAAGTTTAAATATCTTCAGCTTTCCATGGGAGCTTATGGAAATATGCCTGCAGAACCTGAAAAATCATATGGACCTGTATTTTAGAAATGGTTGCGAACGCTTGCAATACAAACAATGATATGATTGGATTTGATGAAGATGTTATGAGGTCATTGGTGATGATGGTAGTGTGGAACAGAAATGGGATAGCTATGACAAACACATTTCTTATGTGGTTTTCCAACAGAAGTGGACTTTTGCTTCCAGCAAGGTCAAACATCTACTGCTCCAATAACATACAAATTGTCTGTTAAAGGACCTATTGAGCAACTGAAAATGTACCAAAGCCACTTATTGGATTTATGAGGGATTGTTGCTTTGCCATTCAGGTGCGTGCTAATGGCATCCCCATAATAAGATTAGATGACTATAACTTAGCTACGGACGACAGTGAGGAATAAAGGATGAACGTTTATTTTTAAAGCTTATAAATGAGTTCTTCATCAAGCTCTCGTGAACCTTCACCATCTATGAAACAAACTTTACCAAACGATTATGGAGCACCTATTGAATATTTCTTACGAGCTGCACAATGGCAAAGAGCAGTCTCACCAAGGTTAGGTGTTCCACCAGCTCCTGTCAAAAATAGCATTTGGTCAAGTCCTTATATAAGATATGGTCTCCCACTAGGTTTGCTAGCTACAGCAGGAGCAGTAATGATGTTGAAAAGAAATAAAGCAAATGTTGTAAATAATACTGAAGTAGCTGAAGTTAAACAAACTCCGACACCTTCGCCAAAACCAACGCCTTCAATGACTCCTGAACCTATGGAAGTACAAACTCCTGTTCAAAAGTCAACTCCTAAACCGACTCCAACATTTAAACCAGAACCTACTCCTCAAATAAATCGTAAAACTCCTGCGTTTCCTTACTGAAAAAAATAACGTTCTTTTTATTTAATATTAAAATTTTTATTTGATTGAAATGACAAATAAAGTCACTGAAGCAATGAAACAAAAGTTTTTGGTAGAATACATTAAATCAGGAACTATTCCAGAAGGTTTTTACATTCATACTATGAAGGATGGTAGAGTTCAGTTTAGAAAGATAAAGCAACCATTAGATAAAGAAGGAATTTTGAGAAAGATTAAACTTCATGAGGACAACATTGCTAAACTTAGGAAGAAGTTAGAAGAGTTGGAGAAAGGAAGAGAGTTATAAAGCAATGAATTCAACAGGGTGAAAAAAGAGGTGAAAAAAGAGGTGAGATCTCACCACTTCACCTAAATTTATTTTTGTGCTATGTTTTCATACGTGTGAGGGTGGTGATATCATTAATTTTTAAGTTTATTTTTTATTTTATTTTTATATAAATGACGAAAACTATTGAGATAACAAACTACAACGGTCATGAGTTCAAGAATTTGTTCTTCGTTCCTCGTGAAAATACATTCTATCAGATACGAGGGAGAAAGGGTAAAGTTAGTTTGAGCGTTTATGATAGTAAACATAATGGAAAGTTTATATAAGCATATGATACAAACGGTAAGCGTGTTTCATTAGCTTTGTCAAAACTTACTAACATTTATTTTGACAGTGACTTTGACCTATATGAAGAAGAAAGTGAGTCAGAAGATTATGAGTTGTTATGTGAAGCACAGCAATGGGAGGAGTTGCAATACTTTTGTAAGTGAGAACGTTTATTTTTACATTAGTGAAGTCGTTTGTGAAAACATTAGTGAGAACGTTTATTTTTTCATGCACGTGCATTGTGTCGTGGGGAGTTGCCATGGGCAATGACCTGCGCACAATATATAACGTACAGAGAGGTGAGATGAGGTGGTTTATGTGATAAATACTTTACGTGGCAGAAATAGTTTAAGGTTATTAGAAATATTGCATATGTGATGTAAAATATACGTTAGTGGTTTTGTAAAGTGCCAGATTGACATATCTTCGGTAAGATGGCGCGCAGTGCCACAGTACTGAAGATATGTATACTAACTAAATTCGATCGACATACCCTTTGTAAGGATTCATTCTAATGAAGTACGTTAACAATCAAAATATTCTATAAGTGTCTAGTATGGAATTCAAAAGAATAAAGAAAATGGTAACGTAAATAAACGTATTATGAAATAATTTATAATTAAAATGAAAAAAAGAAAAAATAATAAGTAAAGTGACTGGAAATGAAAATTAAAATCAGTGTACAGTTTTATTTTTTCTCGCTGTGAAACGTATTCGGTCATTTTTTTAAAAATTAATTTTTTGTTAGAGATAAGAGCTAAAACTCGGTAAACAACTTCTTTATGTCTAGAAAATTCTATCTTGCCTTTTTATTTTTTCTCGCTGTGAAACGTATTCGGTCATTTTTTAAAAATTAATTTTTTGTTAGAGATAAGAGCTAAAACTCGGTAAACAACTTCTTTATGTCTAGAAAATTCTATCTTGCCTTTTATTTTTTTCTCGCTGTGAAACGTATTCGGTCTTTTTTTTAAAATTAATTTTTGTTAGAGATAAGAGCTAAAACTCGGTAAACAACTTCTTTATGTCTAGAAAATTCTATCTTGCCTTTTATTTTTTTCTCGCTGTGAAACGTATTCGGTCATTTTTTTAAAAATTAATTTTTTGTTAGAGATAAGAGCTAAAACTCGGTAAACAACTTCTTTATGTCTAGAAAATTCTATCTTGCCTTTTATTTTTTTCTCGCTGTGAAACGTATTCGGTCATTTTTTTAAAAATTAATTTTTTGTTAGAGATAAGAGCTAAAACTCGGTAAACAACTCCCCCATGTCTAGCAAATTTAACATTCGTCTCCCATTTTTATGTATTTGGTTTAGAATGTTCGAAAATGCGTAATATGGTCATTAATATTAATTGAAAAGAACCTTGAATTAATTCAATCTGATCTCACAAAATATTTTAAATTACAAACTTTGTAGTTTGAATCGATAATTAGTATTAAACTCAAATAACTAGTTTATTTTTGAATAAAAATTATTTGAATTTATTCAATTTTGTTAATTTTCCTTCAAAAATCAAGTTTAAATATCTTATTTGCCATATAATTATAAATACAATGAAACATATTCGAAATTGAAAAGAATGACTTTTTCTGTTCTTTCAATCATTCAATTTGAATTTTGCAATATTGGATTTCTCATTAAATACCTATTAAAAACAACAAGCAATTTAACTTACATTCAAATTTATTTGTGTTATATTCAATCTTCTCAAAACTTATAATTTTCGGCTATAGCATGATTATATGCTATATAATATAATAAACCTATAATAGTATCATTCTTTCAATTATTTGAAGAGAAAACCGAAAAAATCTATTTTCTGTCTATAACAAAACTTTTGAATAATATGTAATTGATTCAAGTTTTACAATTCTTTTGATTGAATAATAACATATGATCAGTATACAGCATATTTTTCAAAAACAAATTTTAGGCATAATTTGTCACCCAATCTGGAAAAAAAAGTTCTTCAATTTTACAATTCAATGCTCTTACTTTTCCTTCCTCAATTTATTAATAGCCTTTTTGACCTTTCAAATATATTGGAAGGAGTTGGTGTCCCGAGTTTCCTGGACAATAATAATAGCAGCCAAAACCTAACTGATATAGAATCAAGAATCAATGCTGGATTTACAATTTATACAAAAAATGAAACCGCTAACACGCTCAGAATTAATAGAGAGTTTTATTTGTGCTCGGTTGAAATCAAAACCTCTACTTTTAAAAATAATTACGCTTTTGGAGCAGTTACAGGCGGTCCATGTGGTGGAGCAGTATACGGATATCGCTCTAGTTTTCACATAATAGGCTCCAATTTCAGCAATAATCAAGCAATTGATGGAGGTGCTATATCGTTTACCGAATGCAACGCCCTATTACAATTACTACAAGAAAATAACAATCAAGCTAGGAACAAATTTTCCTCAAATACAGCATTTTGCTCTGGAGGGGCAATCTTTTTTGAAGGTCAGGCAAAAAACCATTTTGATAACAATTTACAAATTTGGGATTCAAATTTTTCAAATAACACAGCTTACCAAACTGGAGGAGCCATTCACGCTACTATCGAATCTCAAGTTTCAATCATTAATTCCAAATTTGACCAAAACAGAGCTGGTGATAACGGTGGAGCTATTTATACCATCAATAGCGATTTATACTTATTCGATAGTTGCATTGTTGCAAACCGAGCAGGAAAAAACGAATATAACTCAACAGATCAGTATTCAAGCGATAGTGACAAATTATATCGTATGGAAGAGCAATTGACTCGTAAGTTCTTGTGCCGAGGATGCGGAGGAGTTGCTTTTATTGTCATAGATCTCCAATACAATTTACTGCAATTAAGTCAAGATACAAACTACTCAAAATCATTTTATTCCCAACAATGCACTTATTATAACAATCATATGTATAGAGGCATACTTCAGCAATCTTATAATTATAATTTGAGTGAATTAACTAATATTACCGGATATAACATAATGGTGCAAAATGAATATAACAAGACAATCAAGTTTCAAACCTATAGCGATTATTTTAAAGGTAATTTTCAATCATCAACCATTCGAATAGGCGATGTTGAGTTATATTATTATTCACATCAGCCTTCACAGATTGCAAATTGTTCAACTAATGAAACACTCTCCATACAAACAACCAATATCTCTCAAGCTAAGTCAACAAATAAATCAGGAGATAGCATAAGTAAAGTTGCAACGCCAACAAATTATACATATGTTGCAACGCCAATTACTCGTCTTCCAAAAGCCACTACACAAAGTCCCAAAACATATCCAACGACTACACATTATACAACAATATCCCGTCCACCATCAGCTTTTCCGCGAACACCAGTATCAACACCATTTTCTACAATGTTTACTACCCCTCATTCTACACCGCATTCAACACCTTTTTCAACAGCTTTTTCAACAGCTCACAAAACTCCATTCATAACAGTATTCTCAACTCCGCATTCAACCCCTCTATCAACAGCTCATTCAACTCCTCATTCAACAGCTCATTCAACTCCTCACTCCACAGCTCATTCAACTCCTCATTCAACAGCTCATTCAACTCCTCATTCAACTCCTCACTCCACAGCTCATTCAACAGCACACTCAACACCAAATTCTACGCCTAATTCAACTCCTCATTCCACTGGTCATTCAACACCACATTCTACTCCTCATTCAACAGCTTATTTCACACCTCTTTCTACACCTTACATTCCACCAATTGTCAAATCAAAGCCAACAGATGTGACAGGAGAATCCAGTGGTTACACAAAATCATTAACTGAAGTTCAATATCAATACCATACAAATTCCACCACAGAAACCTCTATTGCTGTAGGTAACGAGATTAACAAGACAGAAACAAATATTACAACAATAGCATATGCTAATACAAGTGTACTAACATGGGTTATTACATCAGGTGTAGAAACAACAAGTACAGTAACTTGGACCTATATTCAATCTAATACCACTACACTTACTGTTTCAACTACTTTAGTTGAGAAAAACACTTCAATAAAGGCAAGTGAAGGCAATGAAGAAGATAACACATCAACGCTTTCTTTAGTTGAAACAAAGACAATAGTTACTACATACACAATGACACTTGTTATGACTGAAACAAACATCATCATTCCTTTGGATGACTCAACTGTCGGAAGTAACGTTAAATCCGGCACAATCATTCTGATCGCTGTACTTTGTTTGGTTGCGGTGTTCTGCTTAGCTATAATCGGTCTCTTCTTGTACAGAAAGTCCCACAACAAGTCATCGGAATCAGAATCTTCGATCAATGACGACAGTGATTTATTCAACGATGAAACAAGACAGCAACAGACGATCGTCACGTTTAATGCAGATGATGATAACACAATGTTGTCAACCTTCAATATGGGTACTGATAACATCGAAGATAATGAAGAATCTCTCAATGACGATGATGAAATGTTTCTTAACGCTGAATTTTAATTTTATTTTTGTTTATTATTTTTCTAAAGTGGATATTTATTTTAATAATATTAATATTTTTCAATTTGATTTTTTTTTTGTTGGTCATAACCGTTTTTTAACCGTAAAAAAGCGGCATTTTTTGCTATTTCGGAAATAAATATATTATTTGTCGAAAACATATATTTGTAACAGAAATCATATATGTATTTCGTTGTAATTTGAATATGTTCTGGTAATATTAGATGTGTTATAGACAGAAAATAGATTTTTTCGGTTTTCTCTTCAAATAATTGAAAGAATGATACTATTATAGGTTTATTATATTATATAGCATATAATCATGCTATAGCCGAAAATTATAAGTTTTGAGAAGATTGAATATAACACAAATAAATTTGAATGTAAGTTAAATTGCTTGTTGTTTTTAATAGGTATTTAATGAGAAATCCAATATTGCAAAATTCAAATTGAATGATTGAAAGAACAGAAAAAGTCATTCTTTTCAATTTCGAATATGTTTCATTGTATTTATAATTATATGGCAAATAAGATATTTAAACTTGATTTTTGAAGGAAAATTAACAAAATTGAATAAATTCAAATAATTTTTATTCAAAAATAAACTAGTTATTTGAGTTTAATACTAATTATCGATTCAAACTACAAAGTTTGTAATTTAAAATATTTTGTGAGATCAGATTGAATTAATTCAAGGTTCTTTTCAATTAATATTAATGACCATATTACGCATTTTCGAACATTCTAAACCAAATACATAAAAATGGGAGACGAATGTTAAATTTGCTAGACATGGGGGAGTTGTTTACCGAGTTTTAGCTCTTATCTCTAACAAAAAATTAATTTTTAAAAAAATGACCGAATACGTTTCACAGCGAGAAAAAAATAAAAGGCAAGATAGAATTTTCTAGACATAAAGAAGTTGTTTACCGAGTTTTAGCTCTTATCTCTAACAAAAAATTAATTTTAAAAAAAAGACCGAATACGTTTCACAGCGAGAAAAAAATAAAAGGCAAGATAGAATTTTCTAGACATAAAGAAGTTGTTTACCGAGTTTTAGCTCTTATCTCTAACAAAAAATTAATTTTAAAAAAAAGACCGAATACGTTTCACAGCGAGAAAAAAATAAAAGGCAAGATAGAATTTTCTAGACATAAAGAAGTTGTTTACCGAGTTTTAGCTCTTATCTCTAACAAAAAATTAATTTTAAAAAAAAAGACCGAATACGTTTCACAGCGAGAAAAAAATAAAAGGCAAGATAGAATTTTCTAGACATAAAGAAGTTGTTTACCGAGTTTTAGCTCTTATCTCTAACAAAAAATTAATTTTAAAAAAAAAGACCGAATACGTTTCACAGCGAGAAAAAAATAAAAGGCAAGATAGAATTTTCTAGACATAAAGAAGTTGTTTACCGAGTTTTAGCTCTTATCTCTAACAAAAAATTAATTTTAAAAAAAAAGACCGAATACGTTTCACAGCGAGAAAAAAATAAAAGGCAAGATAGAATTTTCTAGACATAAAGAAGTTGTCTACCAAGTGTCAGCTGTTACTTCTTCTCAATACTGATATAAAATAAAAATCTTTATTATTTATTTAACCTTTATTGTTTCATTAAACTTCATTTATTTTATATTATAGTTTTATTCTTTTAGCTACTTGTAAAATAATCTAATTTTATATCATCATTTTACCGGATTATTCTTCAGTACATCGATTGTGTATCTAAAATAATATCATTATCCTTATTCTGTTTTTTCCAAAATTCTTTTAAATATCTTTTTTGGTTAGATTACTTTATACTTTTTACTTTTATTTTTTAATTTCAAAAAAAATTTGGTGATTGTTCTATTCTGTTACAATGTGCATTATCATATTCTAATGAATTATTCATTACATACATTTAAAAAAACTTGTTAAAAATGAAATTAAAAAATTATGTTTATTATTACGCTGTGAATGTGTCAACAGCGGTCATGCCTGTATCTGTATCCCATATTTGCCACAACCTTTCTGTATCTGCATTTGTGTATTTCGGTTTCAGCTGATACATTTGATTTGGCGTGTAATTTGAGTTAGTATACATATCTTCAGTACGGTGGCACTGCGCGCCATCTTACCGAAGATACGTCAATCTGACACTTTACAAAACCACTAACGTATATTTTACATCGCATATGCAATATTTCTAATAACCTTAAACTATTTCTGCCACGTAAAGTATTTATCACATAAACCACCTCATCTCACCTCTCTGTACGTTATATATTGTGCGCAGGTCATTGCCCATGGCAACTCCCCGCGACACAATGCACGTGCATGAAAAAATAAACGTTCTCACTAACGTTCTCACTAACGTTCTCACTAACGTTCCCACTAATGTTCTCACTAACGTTCTCACTAACGTTCCCACTAATGTTCTCATTTACAAAAGTATTGCAACTCTTTCCATTGCTGTGCTTCACATAATAGTTCATATTCTTCAGTATCACTACTGTCGCTCCAATCGTCTGAGTCAAAGTCGCTGTCATAATTAATGTTTATAAGTTTTGACAAATGTAATGAAACACGCTTACCGTTTGTATCTACTGCTTGTATATATCTTCCATTATGTTTGCTATCATAAATGCTTAAACTAACTTTACCCTTTCTCCCTCGTATCTGATAGAATGTATTCTCACGCGGAACGAAGAACAAATTCTTGAACTCATGACCGTTGTAGTTTGTTATCTCAATAGTTTTCGTCATTACATCCAAATAAAAATTTTCAGTAAAAATAAAACTAATGAAATATTTTATTCCTCACTGTCGTCTGCTTTATCCTGTTCCATATTAAGTTCTGTCAAAATGTAAGCTATTCAATTCTATCGTCGGGGGAAGTATCACAAATCTATTAATTTTTTTGTAAAAGTATACAAAAACATATGGTGTTCAATTAGTTTATAATAATATAAATATTAAGATTATCCAAAATAAGAAAAACTAGGTTTTGAGAACACTTTTGAGATGATAATCAAAATATTTTGATTGAAAAATAATATATTATTTATCAGATATAGAATGGATTTTTTCAAATTTAAAAATTCTGAAAAATAAACAGTTTTGTAAAGTAAAAAAAATGAACGAAAACTCGAGACCTCGTATTCCAAATGAATGGGTAAGATATATGTATGAAAAACTTGAAAGTGGTGAGTAAGGATGTCAATTTGGAAGAAAAGTGAGAAAATTTTGATTGTGAACTCATCTCTAATATTTTGGCTCCTTAATATATTTGAATAATGATCTTTGAGAAGAGTTCTCAAAAGTATTCACAAAAGCTATTTTTCCTTGAAATTTAAAAATCCTGTTTATTATATATTACCGAATTCAATTCCCTACATATTTCAAAATATTCTATGAGCATTTCAATTTTTGAAAAAAACATATTTTTTCCAAATATATTTATTATCATATTTCTAATAATATTTCCTAAAGCGTCACTTTTTACTTCCTCGATGATTATTTCCCTCTCAAAAAATTCAATAGCTTACATTTTGACAGAACTTAATATGTAACAATCCAACTCTTCTAAGAGTATATAAGAATTTCCGAAAAAGTGGCACTCAAAAAAGTGACACTTTCAATAGGGAGTAACACTTAAAAAGTGACAATTTAAAATTCACAATAAATAAAAATAATAAATTTTTTAGTCTATTAAATTATTCTTTTCTTTGAAATCCTCCAAAAATTCTTCGAAATGTTCTAAAATATAACCTGGAGAATTATAACAAAATTCATTAATTTCTAACATATACGTATCTAACAATTCATTTGGAATTTCAAACGATCTTAAATATGTAATTGAATTTTGTATCTTCTCATTTATTTGAGAAAGTTTTTCTTCAGCATTTTCCAATAAAAATCTTAATGGATTCAAATTGGCTTCTTGATTCTGAACAAAATTTAATACTTGGTATAAACGTGATTGAACTTCTCTTTTCAATTTTGTTTTATAATCTGTCAATCGAGGCTCGCGAATTCTAATTGAAGGAATAAAACCTGTTTGAAGTAAATCGTTTTTAATACGATAAAAGTAATTGGGTGCAACTTCTTCTAAAAGATTTTTGACAAAAATATCAATTCTTTGATTTTTAACGCAGCCAAAATCGTGATATTTTATCTTTTTAAATAAAGATTCAGAAACGGTATTCACAACGGTTAATTCATTTGGTCTGGCAGCGGCTATCCACTGTTGTTTATGAATGTCCCACTGACGTGTAAAGTATTGATTAAATTCCAATTGATCTTGAATTTTATCAATAATGTGCTCTTTATACATTTTTGCAGCATCTTCTTCTGTGCAATCACGATAATAACATAAAATGTTCATAAATTTTTCGACTTCTGATCTAATCTCTTCATCATTTATCTTTGAGAGATTCTTTTTAAGTGCGCGTATTACATGTAGCGCGCACCAAAAGATATTGCACTCCGGAAATGAATTCCTAATCCCGTTGAAAATGTTTAGTGCACAGTCAGACATGATAAATTCAGGTTCTGTGTGAGTTGTTTCAAAATATTTACTTAAGCAAAAAGAAATATTTTCACTATTATCTGGATATATTATAAAATAACACAAAGGGATAGAATGAGTATTAGCAAATTTGGTAGCTAATACATAAAAAGGAAATCCATGAATAATTAATTTAAACGTAGAGTCTAAGTGATAAATTGGTGGTTTTTCATGAATTTGAGAGATCATATCATTATCAGAGTAAATAAAAACCAATTTGTCTGGAAAATCAGTATCTTCACCTTGAATGTCAAAATAAATAAGGTCATCATGTTGATCTTCCCATTGATTAACATAGTTTTGTAAAGATTGAAATTGATTTAAAGATATGTCTGGTAAAGATCTCATAAGATCTTTTTGTTGTAAATAATATTTCAATTGATTGATTGCAGTTTGTTTCATAGTCATGTGAATACAAGTATGATCTTTAGGTATTTCAAGCGTTTTGTTGACTTCTTGTGTTGCATTAAGTGGACTTCCGTGATTCATGAGAAATTTTTTAATCCAAGCACGGTAAGTACCACTTGTAGGTGTATTTTTATGTTGTGGTGGTGGTCCTGAGTGAATATGAGTTAAGTTTGCAGATTTAAAAATGTAATTGTCGAAATTTTTAATAAATTTAAAGCCTGCTGGGCAGCCTTCGTATTCGCATCGGTGGTAGATTAATACTCCTGTTCCAATTGATAGTTTTTGTGGGTCTTTGACAAATCTTATGTTACCATGCAGCTCTGCAGCTATAACAAAACGAGAATATTCTAAATATCCTATGGCTTGATCAACCTCGCATGGAGGATCGGGTGGAGGATGTTGCATTGAGCAGCAAAAAGGAAAAATAAAATTGAAAACTCACATTGAAAAAATAACGGTTTAATAGAAAATATTTTTTTTCTTCTGAAAAAGAATTATCTTTGAGTATCTAAATTGGGATAAAGGATATAGAATAGATAACTAGTACTTAATATATGATACATGTACACGAAATGGAAGAATGTGTACTAAAAGAAAGAGAAATTTTAGCTTAATATTTTACATACGAATCAATTATCTTTGGTTAAAAGGTAGAATTGTTGGCTATGATGTACTGATTCATGATCAGTACATCATAGCCAACAATTCCTTATACAAAATTCAAAAACTTGGGTGCAATCAGTTCTGATTGCACCCAAGTTTTTGAACTTTCTTGAGGGAATTAAAGGGTGAGAGATTTATAGTCTATCTATATATCTCCCACCCTCTAATTCCCTCCCTGACAGCGGGAAACTTTGTCTGAATGTTAAACTATTCAGACAAAGTTTCCCACTGTTTGCGAAGGAATTGTTGGCTATGATGTACTGATTCATGATCAGTACATCATAGCCAACAATTCCTTATATAAAGTTCAAAAACTTGGGTGCAATCAGAACTGATTGCACCCAAGTTTTTGAACTTTCTTGAGGGAATGGAAGAGTAAGAGGTATACATTATGAATATATACCTCTTACCCTTCCATTCCCTCTCTGACAGCGGGAAACTTTGTCTGAATGTTAAACTATTCAGACAAAGTTTCCCGCTGTCAGCGAAAGAATTGTTCCATCTGGTGCATAGAGTGTGAATCTATGCACCAAATGGAGCAAGTCCCTCGCGAAATTGCCAAAACTTGCGTCGCATTTCAAAGATTGCGACCCAAATTTTGGCGATTTCTAGTAGAGATGGAGTATTTTGAGTCACTGACCTATATGCAGTGGCTCAAAGGGCTCCATCTCTACTTTGAAGCAAGGAAACTTTCCTCGAAATTTTGATAATTTGAAGAAAGTTTTCAAGCAATTAACAAAGGATTACTCGCTATGAGGTAAAAATTCTAGATTTTCACCTCATAGCGAGAGCTTCCCTTTCATTGCTTGAAAACTTTCCCCAGCTTCAAAATTGGGGAAAGGGCTGTAAAGTCGACTCCGATACCAGCAGGTACCAGAGTATTTAAAAGAGAAGCCCTCGTACGAGTTTCTATGAAGACCTTCTCATTCAAGAAGATCTTAATAGAAAATCGTACGAGGGCATTGGAAACTCGCGTCTGGTACATGTTGGTACCAGAGTGTTTGAGATTTGAAGACTCTGGTACTAACATGTACCAGAATTTATGATGAATTTAAGATGGACCATTATAAAATGGTAGCGGTTTGTTTCAAAAAATTTTAGATGAGATTTGCATAGATATAGATTATATGATTTATACATATGAAAAATAATATATAAAAATATAATTTTGAGATAATTATGTAAATAATATTTTAAATATTTGAATTTGAGGTATAATTTTATAGTAAAATATATTATAAAGAGTATTTATATAAATATTGTAAAATAATATAAGTAATAAAAATTGAGACCCCCTCCCTGTTTTTGTTGTTTTGTCACTTTTTCGGTAATTCTTATTGTTTCCCAAATAAAAATTTTCAGTAAAAATAAAACTAATGAAATATTTTATTCCTCACTGTCGTCTGCTTTATCCAACTCTTCTAACTTCTTCTTAAGTTCAGCAATGTTGTCCTCATGAAGTTTAATCTTTCTCAAAATTCCTTCTCTATCTAATGGTTGCTTTATCTTTCTAAACTGAACTCTACCATCCTTCATAGTATGAATGTAAAAACCTTCTGGAATAGTTCCTGATTTAATGTATTCTACCAAAAACTTTTGTTTCATTGCTTCAGTGACTTTATTTGTCATTTTACTCTAAATAAAATGTTCAAATAAAATAAAAATAACGTTATTTTTTCAGTAAGGAAACGCAGGAGTTTTACGATTTATTTGAGGAGTAGGTTCTGGTTTAAATGTTGGAGTCGGTTTAGGAGTTGACTTTTGAACAGGAGTTTGTACTTCCATAGGTTCAGGAGTCATTGAAGGTTTTGCTTGTGAAGGCGTTGGTTTTGGCGAAGGTGTTGGAGTTTGTTTAACTTCAGCTACTTCAGTATTATTTACAACATTTGCTTTATTTCTTTTCAACATCATAACTGCTCCTGCTGTAGCTAGCAAACCTAGTGGGAGACCATATCTTATATAAGGACTTGACCAAATGCTATTTTTGACAGGAGCTGGTGGAACACCTAACCTTGGTGAGACTGCTCTTTGCCATTGTGCAGCTCGTAAGAAATATTCAATAGGTGCTCCATAATCGTTTGGTAAAGTTTGTTTCATAGATGGTGAAGGTTCACGAGAGCTTGATGAAGAACTCATTTATAAGCTTTAAAATAAACGTTCATCCTTTATTCCTCACTGTCGTCCGTAGCTAAGTTATAGTCATCTAATCTTATTATGGGGATGCCATTAGCACGCACCTGAATGGCAAAGCAACAATCCCTCATAAATCCAATAAGTGGCTTTGGTACATTTTCAGTTGCTAGTTCAATAGGTCCTTTAACAGACAATTTGTATGTTATTGGAGCAGTAGATGTTTGACCTTGCTGGAAGCAAAAGTCCACTTCTGTTGGAAAACCACATAAGAAATGTGTGTTGTCATAGCTATCCCATTTATGTTCCACACTACCATCATCCACCAATGACCTCATAACATCTTCATTAAATCCTATCATATCATTGTTTGTATTGCAGGCGTTCGCAACCATTTCATAAAATACAGGTCCATATGATTTTTCAGGTTCTGCAGGCATATTTCCATAAGCTCCCATGGAAAGCTGAAGATATTTAAACTTAGGGTTCTCAAAATTAACATAATAGTTGTCTTTCTTTCTAAATAGTGCCCAAATACTTTTAACATTAATAGGCGTATAAGCTGCTGTAAATGTTGCACTTGAACTATCTGTATTCTTTGAGAATGAACCGTCCATAGGAATCCAATCCATAACTTTAACAGGAAAACATAAAGCCTCGTTTGTATAATGTTCTACAAGTTCTGTATAAATGTTAGGGTCTAAAGAGAATGACTTTGGATGAATGAAACATTCATTAAAATCCATCTTTGTTCGAAATAGTTGCTGGGTTACAGTTGTAATAGTAACTGTTCCACTAGCTTCTACTGCCTTCGTTATCATAGTGAATGGTTCATTCCATGGAACAAATTTATTTGTCGGTGGATTTGAATCTGAAGCAAATGCAACTTTAAGAGTTGGATTGAAAGCAATGATATCATTTACAGATATAGATGTGCATTGTAAGGCGTCGCTACTGAACTTTACTTTAAGCTGAATGTTTCCTGCAAATGCTGGAATAAATCGAATAGCTTCTAATGGAAAAACTTCTAACAGGAATTCTTAAACGAAGCTTAAAATCAAATGATTTTCCTGCTGTAATTGGACCACTAACAATTTGTCCTGTTCTGCATGTTCCCGAATGACTCCATACATCTTCATGTCGAGTCTTTGAGAAAACATCTACTTTCTTTATTTGTTCGGTAGTTTGTGAGTTTGAAGTTATATATGCTTCTTCTCTTGCGTTGTCTTGAGAATATACGATACGACCATTTGCAAGGATTTGATATCCAGCAACTGCATAGAAAGCGTCATCGAAACCAATCCAAAATCCTGGTGGGTTTGTTTTATTGGAACCTGAACCAATTTCTTTATCTACAATAAATTGACCTTCCATTTTATACGTAATGAATGTATTGTAAAGGTCCAACATATTTTCACCAGGAGGTGAGAGATTGAATGTTACCCATGTGTTATCTTTAGCAGTTCCAGGTTGTGATGGAATCTTTGCGTCAGAATATTTTCTATTAGTGTCACCAATTTGAACTGCATTGTCTATGATATCGAAATATGAGCGAATCTGATGAATATGCTCTGCTGGAGTAAATTCGTTTAGCTGTTCGTTCTGCATGTATTTAC